AATGCATTTGCTCGGCTGTAGTGTTGTGGACTGATTAAAAACAATTCCTGCTTCTGGAACCTCCTTCGGAATGTGGACGAGGGGCTGGCTGGGTGCCAGGCGCAGGAGGGGCTCCGGGGCACCTCTCGAGATGAGTCTTTCTGGCCAAGACTGATTTAGAAAATGTGGTTCCCATCTCAAGGCTTAAGTGAGAACTTCTGCTTCCAACCTCTTGAATCAAGACACTTGGCTGAGGTGCCTCCTCGGTTGCCAGTGGAAGATGTGAAGCAGAGAAACTGAGGCAGGGCCAGTGCAGGTCAAGGCAGTCGGCCCTCTGTAAACCTGGCCGAGGGAAATACCAGAGTCCTGCTTTGGAGCTGATCTTCTAGCCAGGCTCCCTTTCCCTCATTGTCAACCGTGGCCCAACATATGTCCTGGCCTCTGACCAAAGCGGGAAGCAGCTCGTCCCGCCTTGGAGCCAGGGAGGAGAGGGAAATCATCACTTCGGTAGGCCCCCTCAGATGTGGAGGCTTCTGACCCAGAGGTGCAAGGTTTAACAAACAAATACAGGATGCCAGCTAAGCTTGAATTTCAGACAGGCGAGGCATCATTTTTATAATATAATGTCACACATCATATTTGGGACATAAATATACTAAAACTAGAGGCCTGGTGCATGAAATCCGTGCACAGGTAGGGTCTCTAGGCCTGCCTGGTGATCAGGGTCAATTGGGGCCTTCTAGCTGCCGGCCTGGGCCTTTCTTCTTTCTGTGCCACCCCTGGTGGTCAGCGCACATCATAGCGAGTGATAGAACTCCCAATCTCCCAGTCAAACTCCTGCGGGGACACTTTGCATATTAGCCTTTTTAATACACATAGATATTATTTGTTGCTTATTTAAAATTCAAATCTAACTGGGCATTCTGTAATTTACCTGGCAACCCCATTTCCAGCAGTTTTTTAAGGTGCATTTCATATAGGTCTGAAGACTGATAGAGTTGGTTGGCAGCCTTGGCATTATGGACATTTGGCTGGATGCTTCTTTGATATGGGAAGTTGTCTTGCTGTTTTGTTGCATTCCTGGCTCCTACTCACTGGATGCCAGTAGCACCTGTCCCCTCTCCACTGTGACAACCAAATGTGTTTCCAGACATTAACAGTTGTCCCCGGGGGAAGGCAAAATCACCTCTAACTGGGAACCACAGCTTGAGAGGTAAAGCAGGATTGTGAAGCCTATCATGATGGTCGACCAGAAGGTGGGCCTTTTATCCAAACACGATACAGGTCCTGCCCCACCTGCATTCCTGCCTCCTCCAACATTCTGGGCTCCTTCGCAGTAATGCTAGGAGCTGTCTACACCTGTGTAGAGGAGCCCAATAATCCCATGTGGATTATAATCACTAGGAAATCATCCTCTCCTCACGTTGCCTTTCTACACAGCTCACATGAGACTAACTATGACAACTGTTTAGGTTTAACTCAGACATCTTCTTCAAAGAATACCCAGGCCTGGCCGGTGTGGCTCAGTGGTTGAGCATCGACCTATGAACCAGAAGGTCCCAGGCTCCATTCCTGGTCAGGGCACATGCCCAGGTTATGGGCTTGATTCCCAATAGGGGTGTGCAGGAGGCAGCTGATCAATGAATCTCTTTCATCATTGATGTTTCTATCTCTCTCCCTCTCCCTTCCACTCTGAAATCAATATATATATATATATATATATATATATATATATATATAAAGAATACTCCATATACCATAAGCCAAGTACTTGCATTTCATCAGAGATCATCCGTGTGAATAGTCTGGGTTAAATTTAGCATTTAATGGGCAAAACTCTTCCAGTCAAGCCACCTTACTAAAGTGTACTTTTGCTCCATTTTGTAGAAGGAGAAACTTCAGGAATTGGATCATGAATTCTGTTCTAGCATTTCCTCCTGCAAATTTATCCTTGAAAAAAATGCTGATGTGCCTTTATGTGGTATTTCCTTTTTGTAAAGTTTCTCTACTTCAATATGCTTTCATACTCCCTTGGAGAAAACTGAAGTGGCATTTGCTTTATTAACCTTGAATGTCCAGCATTGATAATTAATTTTGTAGGCCTATCAGCTTACGTGGTGGGAAAATGTTATTAGCAAGTGAAACACCACTGGTTTCCTCATTGCTTCCCATATTTTGTAGGCTTTTAGAGAAGCACGGTTTTATACAAACCCACTGAGCAAAGCAAAGACAATGTACTACCTGGTCATATTGCTGTGGGAAATCTCTGTTCTCAATTCTCTATAACGGTTGTATCTTCTCAAATCTCTCTTATCAAGTGTTTTCCTTAAATAGGAACACTCTTTCTCTAAGAAACCCCCCTTAAAGAATAACATTATCTTTATTTGTAATCACAGGCCTTCATCATTGTGGAAAAACTCGGATCCTTCTCAGATTCGGATATTTGTATTTAATCAATAACCACATTTCTTTTTCATCCGTCTTACCTCTGCAATTGCATTTCCCAGCCGTGTATGTTTTATTGTGTAAGAATGCAATTGAAAGAGCCATTCATGTTTGCAAAAAGGATAATGTTTTATTATTGGTTAGATAGAGAAGAAACGGCACACTTTGTATAACCGGCTCCTGCTCCAGCGCAGTGGGTTCTGAAAGCGAGGAACGAGTGAACAGGCCTCGGGAAGAGGCCACAGAAAGCTCGTGGTATTCTGACCACATCATAAAGTAAGACCTGGTGATTTTTATGTCTCTAATTGACAAGCATTCAATTCGCATTTGAAATGCATAAGCTTAGTGCGATCTGAGGGTCTGGAAAGAATAAGGGGATGATGGTCGAACTACTTAGCAACGATGCGGCATGACCTGACCAGTGACTCCAAGGACCACGTTATTGGCACAGGATCCCCAAGACCTCCCCATGGCAGGGTCTTCTGCTCTCAGTGACTGGACCATGGGGAGGAGGGCGGTGGGGAAGGTACTTGGCTGGGGGCCAGGAGAGCTGGGGGCAGGGGCAAACACTAAGGGAGCAGCTGTTGAGGCGCCAGCCCGTGGAAGTTGGAGCAGCCGTACTGCAGGCCTGGACAGTGGGAGCTGTGGAGGGCGCAGGGGGTTAGAAGGTTAGACACCAGTTAGGTCCCTGCTACTGCCGCTCACACTGCGTAGCCTTGGGTGAGTCAGTTCTTGGGGCCTCCCTTTTCTCTTGTGAAAAGTGAGGATCTATGATAAGAATGTGCCATTCCTAGTGTCAGAATCCACTCCTCTCCCCACACCGATCTGCGCCTCCTGTGCGCCGAGCGGAGCGGTGTCCCAGCTTCTGAAAGCAGCACCGGCTCGGCCTCCACGCAGCTCTGAGCGCACCCGGGGCCAGGCCGCAGGAACCGCGGCTGCTGCGGGAACAAGACGAGAGCCAGCGGCCCCTTCCCAGAGGCGGCCTAGAAACACTTTTTAAAGATGAAGAGTTTTCAGTGTTTGGGGGAATTTACTGCAGAGTAGAAAAATGTGTCAATGTACTACAGAAACCAAATAAATGTTGCTTTTGCTTGAAATTACCTAGTCAAGCAAAAGCAGGTCCTTTGAAGTTTTTGCTGTTTGCCTAGATTGCAAAAAGTTCCCTTGACTCTCCACCTCACTGTTGCCGTCTTTGTTTGGTCATTGATACATTGTGCTTTTTATATTCAATAAATACATTGCAGTATCTCCCCGGGACATATAAGAACACAGGAATGAGCATGTCATGCCGACAGGAAATAGGACGAGTCCAATGTAACTTCAACCTAGATGTGTTTTTCCCTCAAAATAATTTGGTTGAGTTGAAAAGTACCTTCTAACTTATAAAAGATTTTTAATTGATATTTTAGAGAAAGAGGCAGGAAGCGGGAGAGAAAGAAACATCAATGTGAGAGCACATAAGAGCTGCCTCCTGCACGCCCCTTACCGGGACCGGGGGCCCAGCAGAAACCTGAGCACGTGCCAGGCCAGGAATTGAACGGAAACCTTTCAGTGCAGCGGGCACCCAACCAGCTGAGCCACACCAGCAGGGGCCACATGAAATCTTCTTTGGAGATTTCTAAGTTTGAGGAGGCGCTCAACGTAATTCTTTATTACTTTAAACATCATCAAGAGAAAAAGCGATGGTTTTGAAAGCACATGCTGAGTTAGGAAACGCTGAGCGAGACCTCCCGGTAGTCCCTCGGCGCCTGCACAAATGGCGGTTCAGCAAAGCGAACTGATTCTGTTTTGATATCCTGTCGCCTACGGTACCTGACAAACAGAAATGAGGAAAACGAGGAATTGATTATCTTGAAACTTGCACATAATTCCCATTTTGCTCATTAGATAAAGAAGAGCCTTTTTACAACAAATTAAGAACATGCATAACTGGCTATGTCATAGTCATAGACATGGAGTAACATGGCCTAGAATTATAGGGTCCCTCAAAGTACATCATATTCGAAATTCACTGAAGGTGTCTTAAAGAATCTGTTGTAATTACATGAACATGGTTTCTAATTTATTTAATTCCCTTTCCTACCTAAACTGTACATATAAGTGAATTTTAAGAGACCGTATAAATAAATTTTTAATTAAAAATGATGTTATGCAATACATTATTAATAATAACCAACAATGTATAATGTTTATGCATGAGTCCATTAGAAAGATGAGCTAATATATGTCAATGATAAAGAACGAACTAATTTGTCCTGAATCTGTGAATGAAGTCAAGTTCATGCGGCAAGCCAGCGAGTGCACTAGCACAGTGGGCTTCAACATGCTATGGTTGTTGGGAAACATCTGTTGCCCGTGGCATGTAAGAGGAACTTAGGACTTGTTCATCACATGTGATCAACATCTTATTTTTCAGCGAGCCCTGCGGTTGTGAAATTTGGAAGAAGACCTTTGAGTGACACTACTGCTTTCCCAGGCAGGTGCAGAGCAAACGGCCGCAGCGTTCAGAAATGCACACGGCCCTTCCTCCAGCTGGGATCGGGCGTCCTGCAGCGGCTCTGCGGCAGCCCCCCGGCCTAGCGGTAACAGATCTCTGAAATCTCCATGGCCAGCTCCAGACACTCGCCGGTCTCGTGACAAGATTCAAACAGGCTGCAGTCCATGTCACAGTTGCAGTTGCAGTCGTTCCGGGAGTGGCCTTCATCCGAGGTGTGGTGGTACCGGTAGGAGGGGCAGCACGCGTTGGTGCACACCGTCTCACACGTGTCCGGGAGCATCAGGAGACAATCCCAAAACTGGCAAAAGAGGCAGGTGAGGATGAGGGAGGCGCACTCCTCTGTTCAAAGAAGAAGAAAGACAGTGAGCAGTGGCACCTGTGCAGTGTCTGTGCAGGGCTGGTGTGGGCGTGTACTGGTAACTTCACCGCCCTTCTTAGCTGTTGTCCACATCAGGCCAATGGGCACCGTGTTCTCTCAGGCTCTCCCTCCTCCACGTAGTGCTCACCCTACTTAAGTGATGGCTTTATTAGCTGCTGAGCATTTCCTATCGATCCCACATAATCAGGTCATTTAAAGTGCTGTCACCTCTGCACTCCTTTATTTACTTGGCTTGCAGAGCTGCTGGGAGTCACACAACTGGGAACCTTGCAACTGTCTGAAAACCAGCAGGTCCTCCCCAGCAGTTCAGGAGCAGTTAGAGTCTGGACAGGGAAAGACTACAACCTTCTGGATTTTTGTCTCAAGGCTTTCTTATTTGTTTGATGTGGATTCCCATAAAGGTACCACACCTATATTCACATCCAAGCGAAAAGCAGGTTTCAAAACTTAATGTCAGAACTTTTAACCAACCATCGTGTTTTTATTGTATTCTATGTTTAATCCTTGTCTCTTGTTTTCCTCCAGTTATATAAAACCTTGGCTAGAAGAATACGTCATTATATTCCTAAAAGGGTATAAATCTGATCAATCCCCTTACAGAAACTTGGTTTAAAGATTTACTACGCAGACTTGTAAAAATCTGAAAAGTATCTCTAAGGCCTTGAAGGTAATTGGCAATTCTAGCCAAACAGCTGTGATAGGTTATAGGTTATTATATTTTTTGTTTTCATAAAGGGAATTAGTTAGAAGAGGTAGCAGGTCTCTTGTTAAAATTATAACTTTTCTTTTTAGTTAGAAATTTCTCAAAAATGGGAGTTTTTGTAAAAACCTACATAAGTGTTCACATGACATATCTTGTTAATTAAAATCAGAGCCCTGAAAATTGTTGATGGTTGAAAGTAAGGATTTCCCCCAGAATTTTATTAATAGCTTTTGCTTTTCAGACTTTAGCTGACGGAGACCGCACAGCCCACAGGAAGGCTTGCTGTCCAGCCATTTGCCAGAGCTATGGGTACTGAGCCCCACTCATTCAGTCTTAACAAATTTCCCGGAAAATTTTCTTTCTTTCATTTTTCATATACTTGTGAATCTTTAAGAGAGAAGAAAGAGCATGGAAACTTTTTTCTAAAAAGGAACAAATGTTTTAAAGATAGTCATTTTAATTTCTTTTACAAGACACTACATAAGCTGTGCCAATGCCCAAAGCGAGTCCTGCCTGGGTGGACAGGAATCTTCCTTCCTGTCTCTGCCCTCCCTCCAGTCCCGGCCCCGCCCTTCCCCAGTGAAACATGATAGAGAGCCACACCAGGACTTTCATGGCCACTTTAATTGCCATATATTGTTGCAGGTGCTGTGGCATTGCTCAGTATTTATAGTGCAGGCAGCATATTCCATAACACCTCTGTAGTTTGTTCTCATCTCTTTGCCAGAATGGTGTATTTTTATTCACCGAGAGCCAGTTTCTAGCATGTGACCAACTCACCCATATCTCATAAGTCACCGCAAAGCACCCACAAACATTCAGGAGTGAGCTCAGTGCAAAGACTCTATTTTGCTTATGCATTTCTGACCAGGGTGTGTTGGTGGACAAGACCGGGGGCTTAAAACCTCACCAAGTGTCACCAATGCCCAGCCTGCTACTGCAGCAGCCCTGCAAGAGGAGGTTCTCCATAGGAAATAACCCAGGAGCCCTCAGGCCGGAGGCTCGCGAGACCTACTCAGGGCCTGGCCCCGTGACAGCGACCCCACCGTGCTGTCCTTTGCGGAGGAGACATTCAGAGTCAGTTTGGAGGTAAGTCGGGCGGGTGCAGGGCGGCGCGCCTGCATAGGAGCTAGTGTTTCCTGTAAGAGGATGAAGAACCTGTTTGTGAGGTGACCTTACGATTTCCTGAGGGCACAGAACCTCGGGTTCGGTTCCGAGTGCCAGGTCTCTGCAGGTTGGCAGGTGCTGGAGGCCTCTGCTTCTGGCGTCTGCCATCGATTTTATTAAAAATAAAAAGATGTTTTCACCCAACTCTTGAGCCAAATTGGCATTTCTTTCCTTCTCCCTCTACTGTGCACTTGAGAATAGAGCGCGTTTGTTCTGTCAGTCCTTTTGATTTGATTATAAAAGGCAGAGCCTTTACCGAAAAACATGGCAACGTTAATGAATTGAAAACAGATCTTCCCAACTTTCAAGTGTGCTCTACACTTTTCCTAAAAGCCATATGAAATCATTCTTCACGAGCAGCGTAAACTGTTTTGCACACAGGTTTTTTGTTGTTGTTTGTTTTTTGCACAAAAGTAACGTGAGCATTCATGTGAAAATTTGCAACTGTTCAGAAGCAGAGTTGGACTTGCCTTCCGGTGGATGCATTGTCTTTGCCTAAACGACTCAATGGGGCTTTAGTGCTTAATAAGCGTGACACTCAAAGTCACATCCATGATGGCCACCCGTCCTCTCAGCCCATCCCCAGAGGCTGCTGCTGTGCCGCCAGCCGCCTGCCTCACACACATCTCTTATGCAGTCGCTTCTTGACACCTCACCCTGGCCCAGGCCACGCACCGCAGACCCGCCTCCAGCCAGCGCCCCCCGCCCCCCGTCAGTGCTGCCTGGGCCCCCAGCCCCCGCCAGTGCTGCCTGGGCCCCCAGCCCCCGCCAGTGCTGCCTGGGCCCCCAGCCCCCGCCAGTGCTGCCTGGGCCCCCCGCCCCCCGACAGTGCTGCCTGGGCCCGGCTCCCGCCAGTGCTGCCTGGGCCCCCAGCCCCCGCCAGTGCTGCCTGGGCCCCCCGCCCCCCGTCAGTGCTGCTTGGGCCCCCCGCCCCCCGTCAGTGCTGCCTGGGCCCCCCGCCCCCCGTCAGTGCTGCCTGGGCCCCCCGCCCCCCGTCAGTGCTGCCTGGGCCCCCCGCCCCCCGTCAGTGCTCACCGTGGGCCCCCCGCCCCCCGTCAGTGCTGCCTGGGCCCCCCGC